ATTTTAACTGTTGGAGAAAACTGGTTAATTTTAAGCTTTTTTGCGCTATTTTCATCTTCCGGGTTTAAAATCTACATTGTGTTGACGTCACAATTTGTGACGTGGCAATGGACTAATAGTACATCGATGACGCGTTGGTGTCTATTAAATTATTCATGAGACTGCGTGTTCTTATCCTATGAGAAGATGCTTCGCTTAATTATTCACAACAGCATGTGTTGATTTGCTATGACAGACGTTTCTGTGAGATGACATCGTGCACAATAACTGAGAGAAACGTTCATGGATCGAAGAAGAGTGTTTGTTTTTGCTTTGTAATAAGAGTTCGGCACAAACAGGATTAATTCACTTGGTGAGCATAACCGTTTTTACAGCTCTGTGACACAACCCGTCAAAAGGCTTATATAATGTGGGGGTTTCATGACCCTTTAAGAACCGCTGCTTTAGAACATTGATTTTGAAGCTTGTGAATCCATTAGAATCGTTAGAAGACAGAATCACGATTCATATATGAATAGATTTTTACTTGCACCCCTATTTTTCTTCCTCTTCTCTAAAGCAGTGCAGCATGGCCTCACCCCCTTCATTGCGTGTTCCCGGGGGCGGGGTTTATCTGGGTTTGTGATGTCACGAACCCGGGAAGTAACTTGTTGTAGTCCCTACCAGCCGTTTTTGTAGGCATTAAACCGCCAGCATTTTAAAAGACAATATCTCCGTTTGCATTGAACTTTCAGCTTCGTAACTTTGCAGATATTGTTAATGCTCAAACAGCAACATTACACACTAACTTTAAAAAAGTGAAATCGCAATCAACCACCCCTTTCATAATTTTGTGAAAACCATTATACTTTTTTTCAGGATTATTTGATGCATAGAATGTTTAAAATAACATATTTGAAATAGAATTCTAAAAATTCTAAAATTATTTTGAAATAGAACTTTTAACTGTAACTTATGGTCAGTTTAATGCATTTCTGCTGAATAAAAGTATTAATTTCTTTTTTTTTTTTAAAGGTATAATGTACATTTGTGAGTCACATGACCTGTGGATGGATTTTATACATCCCATCAGGACTTCGTGTATAAATAAATTTCCTTAGAATCAAAACTTGTAAAAAGACAAGATCATGTGTTTTACTGGAGGGAGATCCTGCCACAGTATATACCTACTGTTTAGGTGAATAGATTGTATTGACAGTGCTAAATGATTTCAAATACTTAGTGAGTTGATTTTTTTGGTTTGGTGTCAGTGCAGGTGTACCGATAGGGCTGTAGTGCTATAACAGACAGAGACTTGGGAATCACTGGCCTGTGTTGTTTCCGGAGGCAGGCGCGCTCGATCGGTGCTGGACTGTGGCATCCCAATGAAATGCGCACGTCACCGCTCTGATGTTTAACGAATCAGGGCGCTCATTGGAAAATCATGTTTTCCCCAAATCAGAACGTCTTGATTGGACCTCGCAGGTGACGCCCACAAACAGACAAGGTGGGGTTTAATTATTTAACGTGACAAAAAGATGTAGTTGTCAGACTGGAAATACCGAAAAGATGTTTGAAGTACACAACAGTAGTTCACTTCTAACATCACACATGCACGTTGGGAGTTTGACTAAATTCAAGAAAACTGCTTTTCTTTTATTTTTTTATTAAAAAAAGCATAAATCAAAACAGAAATCACTCTGGAACATATTCAATCAAATTCACTATTTATTAAAACTTCACATGGTCATCACGAGTAAACAAATCGTGATGAGAGGCTACATGCGCTTGCAGGTTTGAGGGCGCCTCGGCAGCACCGAGTTTATAATCCAAATGGAAGCGAAGCCCAGGCGACCCATCCGTGATGCGAGCGGCTATAGCAGCGGAGAGATTGAAAATGCGGATGTCTCTTTGGAAAGAGAAATGAGCGGATCGAGAGAGCTGCGCGCTGACTGGAAGGAGAGCGAGAGAGATGGAGGCGGGGGGAAGTCTCTCAGCTCTGCGGGGCCTGGAGCGCCCGTGCCCTGGACCGGCGGCGCAGTGCTGGCTAACATTCAACCCTCCCCTTGTTCCAGCACCAGTTCCACACACAAGCAGCGACAGGTAAGAGCTAACCAGCGCCTCATCCTACCCACCGTCGGGTAAACAAACCTTGAAAAAAACAAAATCTTAGATGCAACGCAAAAATTCTAAACATTCTGACTTTAGAACGTTCGTGCGCTTTGTTTTTGTAAAGCCGCCTCGTTTAAAATCGCGTTGACTTGGTGCAAGGCACGGTATCTCAGCTCTGCGGGGACTGGAGCGCCCGTGCCCTGGACCGGCGGCGCAGTGCTGGCTAACATTCAACCCTCCCCTTGTTCCAGCACCAGTTCCACACACAAGCAGCGACAGGTAAGAGCTAACCAGCGCCTCATCCTACCCACCGTCGGGTAAACAAACCTTGAAAAAAACAAAATCTTAGATGCAACGCAAAAATTCTAAACATTCTGACTTTAGAACGTTCGTGCGCTTTGTTTTTGTAAAGCCGCCTCGTTTAAAATCGCGTTGACTTGGTGCAAGGCACGGTACATTCCGAGGTCGCCTTACCCAAATTTCCCGTCCTGTGACTCGGGGAAAACATCCTCCGTTTATCTACCACAGTTTAATTTCCGAATACAACTCCAGGAGCCGCTAACCTCGTTTTTAAGCGCGCTTTGTCGTGTGTGGAGCCCTCGCGGTCGCCTTCATTTCCGAGTCAGGACTCCATGAGGCTCGTGGAGGGAAGAACCAGCCGCCTCTGGTTCGCCATCAGGGAGCTCGGTTATCTCACCGTGTGGGCTTGTTTTCGCTTGCGCCTGCCGTGAAAGCGAAGTTTGCGATCAGTTTTTCGGGTTATCTGTGTTCGAGGAGCGAACCGGGTGAGTTTTGAGCCGTTCACGCTCGTCTTTCTCTCGGTGGAGAAGGTGAATTAGGCTCGCAGCAGCAGCGCATGGAGGGTAGTATGGCGGCTCTAGAACAGTCGTCACGCCAGTGAAGCGTCCTTTCTCTCGGCTGTTGCGTTTTTACATTGTGACTTGGAACTAAATGACACGTTTAGAGACTAGATTGATTCATTTCTAAACGAGTGGATCTCGCTTTTCATAAGTGTGCTTCAACCACCGCGTACTTGGTGAAATTAATCGTATATTTCTTTCATTTTTTTGTTTTTCAAGCCTTTGAAGACCCTGCTGCCATACGGCTGCACAAACCGTGCTCTCACCCCGCATTCCTCATCACTTGAAATCGGGGTAAACCACCGGATTTCTTCACGGTAAGAGGACATTTTAGACGCCGGTTACAAGCTCCTTTTAGCAGCGTATAAGAAGGCTTGATTTTAGCCGCGTTTTAGGGTTATTTTTGGCGACTGTCGGTTCAGCTTTCACCAGGGCTTTAGGGGGATTCAATGCTAGTTATAGCCGGCTAGCTCCGGTGTAGGTCAAGTCATATGTCGGTTTAACAGTGTAACATTTTTTTCCTCATTAAAAACGCATTTTCAGATATCTCTGAGGCTATCATTTGTAGCACTTCCACGCGTGGACACAATGTTGTCGAGTTTATAATTAAATCAATAAAGTGGAGTTTTAAACATCAAACAGCACCAACTCTATAATTTAATGAGGTTTTGATATGGAAAACGGTCTTAAGGTTAAACTAATTTTAAATGTACCCTTATAAATACTTAAACACTTCAACTTAGACGTAGTTTAATTCTTTACTCTACATTAGAGTCCCGCTACAAAGCTTTTGTTCATAAATGCGCTTAAAATCCACAATAGTTTTCCTGAGCATTTCTATAGTAGTAACGCTCTATTATGCTCAAACAGGTTCTGATTATCATGACACCCACTTTATTTAGTAACATTTCGTGGTGGTGGTAAAAATGCCCTTCAGCCAGGGTCTATTTTAAAGCTGGACTCTACTGGCTCGCGCGCCGCCATTACACATTCATCGCAGCGGCGACGCCTCGCCCTGGAAAAAGAGTCGTGCCATTTTGTGACTAATTTAGTCGGCGCACTCGTTCGCTAAACGACATCAGATTATGACTAGCCCTCCATACTCAAGCATTTTAAAACAGTAGCTATGCATCAAAGGTGGCGACCCAGAATGCGTCCGTGGCGGAAGCGGAGCCCCGCGCCCCGTCGGTTTGGAGGCAGACTCTGGTGCTGCATGCTGTAGCAGTCACTCATGATGATCCCTGGCTGTGTTTCCCCCTCGCTCTCGACGCAGACCGAAAACAGATCCCGATCCGTGGTCAGCTGGTCCGTCTACAGGCAGCCGCCTGCCTATCGCCCAAACCGCTGCTTCCTCCTGTAGTACCTCCTAGTATCCTCTCGTCCGCCGAAAATATGCTCCAGTTTCGCCTCGAGAGAGCAGGAGAAGCCGCTGCGAGTCTTAGTTGTGTGGACAAAATGGAAGATTAGACGGATTGGCTGCTCTTGCTGGTGTCGACTGCAGAGTTATTTGAGATTTGAAACCGTCACAAGCAATGGGCTCTGTCTCACGATGGAGCGTAAACGCTTAGGGGCGGTGTAATGAACCTCAACCATTATGTGTCGGGCTGGATTTTAATTCCACTCTTCAGGCAGCAATTACTGTTTGAGACATTAAAACACCTACACGGTACTCATTAAACTTTTAAGTCAGGGAAAAAAAAGATTTTTCACAATATAAACACTTTTGAGTCATTTGACGCAAAATAATTGATATTTAATTTAAAGCTACTGGAAATAAACTATTATAGGGTTAAAGCCATGAAAGTGTGATTTTCAACTTTTGTAGTCCTTAATATAATTAACCTGTTTTTTTTAGAGTGATTCCAGACAATGAATGGAGAAATGGACTCCACTGCTAAAGAACCCGGTAAGAAACATGAATCGTTTAGATCGGTGATTTTCTGTTGTTTATGAATATTATTATACATTTTTTTTTAAATGCCATCAATGGTCATGGATATAGCTTTAATAGGACAATTTTTAAAAGAGAATTTTGGTTTCTAAATATCTGTTGAATTGATAGTTCAAGCAGTAGAGCAATGCCAAAATCATTGGTTTGATTCCCAGGGGATGCATTTTCTGATAAAATGTATACCTTGCATGCAAAGTAAGTTGCTTTAAATAATTAGGTTTATACTCCTGGCAATAATCGCCTTGTAAAACAAATTGCTCTTGGCATTAACCATGTTTCCCACTGCATGTGAACCTGTATTTAACCTTTGTGTGAAATACAAACATGTACGTTTTTCTTAATCTGCGTGAAGATGTGTGCATTGGATCTCAGAAATCATTTTTGCCATAATGTTTTCTTACAGTTTGGGAGCAGAATGACCTGTTGAAGCTGTTGGATGCCATAAAGGGGAACCTGCCGGAAAAAGATCTGGCCAAGTACAAGACGTCCGAGTCCCATTTGGACTGGGAGAAAGTGGCTTTCAACTCTTACTCTGGGGAGATGTGCAAACAGAAATGGCATGACGTTTCACGTGAGGTACGCTAGTCAGTGATCAATGAGTTTCAAGTTGAAACTTTCAACTGAAACATAAATCAAAAATATGTTAGTTGTTGATCAGTAGATAGGACAATGTTCAATGCCATAGGACAATGATTATGCAGTTATCACATTAATATTCCTGTTCCTCACTCAGATTCGCAAATTCCGCACCCTTACTGAGCTGATCGTGGATGCGCAGGACTACGTCAAAAATCCATACAAAGGAAAGAAGCTGAAGGTAGACAGTCTTATGGCTCCGTGCTGAAAGCTTGGGTTAAAATGACAGCGTTTTCCTATTGCTTGCAACGATAGCAAATACTAACTTTTTGTGTATTTGTCCCATCTGCAGAAGCACCCAGACTTCCCCAAAAAGCCATTGACACCGTATTTCCGTTTCTTTATGGAGAAGCGTGCCAAGTACGCTAAACTACATCCAGAGATGAGCAACCTAGATCTCACAAAAATCCTGTCCAAAAAATACAAGGAGCTCCCAGAGCGTAAAAAAGTGAGTGCAATAAAATTAAAAAGAAACGTCACTTAGACATAGTCTGTAACCTTTTTTTAAGAACCACTATAAAAGAGGAATTGATGTGGATGTAAGCAAATGGGAAATGATGTGGATACTATAATGGTATATTAGCTAAAGATCTGTGGCTGCTCTTTTTCCCTTTGAAATGAAGCAAATATTTTCTATTTGGTCTAGATCGGTCAACAAAGCAGGCATTGTTTTGACTGACCTGTTTGTTATGACTGAACCTTTTGTCAACAGGAGAAATATGTGAAAGACTTTCTCAGAGAAAAGGAGAGTTTCATGCTCCGCATGATGAAGTTCAGGTAAGTGACTTATTGACACTTTACCATCACATTTACATTTTTAAATCATGGCTTTTCTTAAAGAGTTTGTTTGTGTTTCTTAATAGGCAAGATCATCCCGACCTTCTAGAGAACGTTAACAAGAAGTCCAATGTTCCAGAGAAGCCCAAGACGCCCCAGCAACTGTGGTACTTCCATGAGAAGAAGGCCTTTCTCAAAGCACGCCCAGATGTACGCTCTACACACACGCTCGCACTCATAAATAAATAATGATGCTGGCTTCTTCGTATACATGAATGCCGCAAAACACTTTTGTTTTAACCTCTAGGCGACTACCAAAGACATCAAGGACGGTGTTGGCAAGCAGTGGCCACAGCTCTCAGACAAGAAGAGGATAAAGTGGATCACAAAGTCTTTGGAGCAGAAGAAACTGTATGAGGTAAAAACGTTTTCATTTTACATGGCATATTTTTGCCAGCAGTAGCGGCTTCTTTGTAACGTTTGATCTTTCTCGTCCTTGTTTAGGAGAAGATGCGTGAGTTTATCCAGCAGCACCCAGAGATGAACATGACAGAGGAGAACATTGTCAAATCCACTCTGACCAAAGCAGAGAGACAGCTCAAAGACAAGTTTGATGGGCGGCCAGACAAACCGCCTTCGTACGTTTACCTGATAAGAAGTTTTGTTTTCTTTCTGCGAAATATTGATTTCTTTTTTGGGGGGTGAAATATGACCTGGAAATGTTCATGTTTGTTTTCTATCTGTTTTTCTTGTCAGTATTAGTTTAGTATTATTAATTTATTTAATTTAATCGTTTTATAATCTAATATTTGTTTATTTTCATTTTAAGTTATTAGTAGTTTTTATGTGCTTTTGTCATTTTTATTTGGTTTGTTTTTATTTATAAATTTATATTTAGTTTTAATTTAATTCCGTTTCAGTCATTTTAGTATTTCAAATTTTAAATGTTGCACTTCAACTTTAGCTTATTTAATTTAATTTATTTCAATTGCCGAGAGTGATTATTTTATTATTATTATTTTTTTAATCGTTTTAGTATCAATAACAGCGGGGGGGGGTTTATTTTTTTTTGTATGAGTTTATATATGGTAAGTGAAGTTTTTCATCATCTCTCATTTTGTCTCTCTTTCAGTAATGGTTACTCTATGTTCTGTGCTGAGCTGATGTCCAGTATGAAAGACGTTCCCAGTACAGAGCGTATGGTCATGTGCAGCCAGCGCTGGAAACTCCTCAAACAGAGTGAGAAAGATGCCTACCAAAAGCGCTGTGAGCAGGTTTGTAACACATTGCTTTTATTTTGTATCCTTCCTTTGTTTGTAACATAAACAAATCAACATGGATACATATGAAAGTTTGTCCATCTCTTTCATTTTTTTTCTGCTCTACACAGAAAAAGAAAGAATATGAAGTTGAGATGAATCGTTACTTATTAGTAAGTATACTTTTATAACAACAGACTCTTGGCTCTCTGTGCATTTTTTGCACCATTTTCTGTTAGGTTTGCATTTTAAACATGTTGTCTGTGAATCCCAGAGTATCTCAGAGGAGGAACAGCAGAGAATACTGTCAGAACAGAAGATGGGCAGCTTTAAAAAGGGGGTTGGAGGCAGTAGTCCTGCTTCCAAAAAGAAGAGCACAAAAGCAAAGGTCAGTTCAACAGTCAGTCATTTTGGGGTAATTTAAAGGATTCATATTTAAGTGAGCTTTAGTCACTAAAACTTCACTTATTTAATTCCCTTTTCCTCTTTTTTATTTTTTTATTTTTTTATTTTTTTTTTAATATCCCAACAGTCCAGTACAGAGAAGCCCAAGCCTCCTGTCTCTGCTATGTTTATTTTCTCTGAGGAGAAGCGCCCAAAACTTCAACAGGAAAAGCCTGATCTTTCTGACATGGAGCTCACCAGACTACTGGCCCGCATGTGGAATGAGCTTTCTGACAAGAAGAAGGTAATCATGACACTTTAGTGACCCAGAGATGTTCAATTCCTTCTGTTACTGTGTTAGCCAATTCAATTGTATTCAACTTCTGTAATCTTTCTTGTAGGAAAAGTATAAAAACCTGGAGATGACGCTGAAGGCAGAGTCTGAAAAACAGAGCAAAGAGGACAAAGGGAAACTACCAGAAACGCCCAAAACAGCTCAGGATATCTGGCAACAAAGCGTCATTGGAGACTATCTTGCCCGATTCAAGGTATGGAATCATAATTGCAAAAAAATTCAGTGGAAAGAGCTTGGGTCGGGGTTGGGTTTTTGACTAGAAGTTTCTTTTTCTCACCAGAGTAGCATTTATTTGGTCACAAATACAGTTAAAACAGTAATATGAACAGCATCTATTTGAAATAGAAATCTTTTGTAACATTATGAATGTCTTTATTGTCAATTTTCTGTCACTGCTCTCAAAAACTGAATAGACAACATGAAGCAGTTATTAAAGAGTTACTCCACCCCAAAATTAAAATTGTCATTAATCACTTACCCTCATGTCATTCCAAACCCGTAAAAGCTTTGTTCGTCTTCGTAACACAATTTAAGATATTTTGGATGAAAACCGGGAGGCTTGTGACTGTCCCATTGACTGCCAAGTAAATAACACTGTCAAGGCCCAGAAAAGGATGAAAGACATCGTCAAAATATTCCATCTGCCATCAGTGGTTCAATCTGAATTTTATGAAGCGACGAGAATACTTTTTGTACGCAAAGAAAACAAAAATAACGACTTTATTCAACAGTTCGTCTGCTCCGCGTCACCGTAGTGCCATTTTGGAGACTATCCACTGAACGCAAACAGCGTACGCTGTTCTACTTGTCTGTGTCAGCCGCGCCACACAGATACGTTTTCTACGTTTATTTACGCTTTGATTTGAACGAAAACAGCGTAT